CACTCCCCAAGTGACTGCAAAGCCCAGTGCTGCGCCGATCCGAAGCCAGGAGCCAGGAACCTCCTCCAGCTCTCCCATACCGGTGTAGGGTCCTGAGGCTTTGGGCTGTCCTCAACTGCTTTCCTACATCACAAGCAGGGAACTGGATGGAAAGTGTGGCTGGTGGGATTAGTACCGGCGCCCATATGGGATCCTGGTGTGTTCAAGGCGAGAACTTTAGTTGCTAGGCCACTGCGCTGGGCCCTCCCTTTCTCCTTTACTCCATTCTTTCCTTCCTTCCTTTTTTTTTTTTCTTTCCTTTTAAATTTATTGGGATGGATATCTTAATTGCTTGGTTAAATGCCCACTTCTTATCATCTCTTTGAGAGAGTTAATTAACCTTTCTCAACACTTGTTTTTTTCACAATAGATGCATAAGAGGTGGTGTGTAATAAAGTTTTCAATAATATCAGCTTCTTTAAAGAATATGACAGCTCTTAAAGCTAAGCCTGCATTGCCTACCAATGATCTCTTGTTAAAATATGTTCCCACGGGTCCGAGGAATAGTTACTAGCTGCTTGGAATGTATAAAATGGGGCACCTTTCTGATGTTAGAAGAATACCTTCCACGAGGCTTGCCAAGGCTGGCTCAGGAAACTGCCTTGTGGCACTTTGTAAAGGTTCAGTCTCCATGCTCCCTCGTGTGTCTGAAGTGGGAATTGCCCTCTGGCTGGCCTGTGGTCATGGTGCTGAAATCTCCAAGTTCTGAGGATTGAAGATGCTCAGATCCGGGGCAAGAACTGTCAGGTTAGACCATAGAACCACCTGGAAAGTACAAGATCCAGAACTGGGAGTGGTACTAGCAGGGAAATTGTGGGTACCTCTCTGATGGGCTGCAGCTGCCGCTGGTGAGCATGAGAACCAGAGATTTTGTGGGTCTGAACTGAACTGGCTGTGGCACCTGCTGGCATGTGTATGGGCTGGATACTGGGGCCAGTTGGGCTGAGTTGTATGAGACTGAATGGGGTGCGGAACAGACAGGACCAGTTAGCTACACAAACCAGCATGCACAGGAACTGGGGCTGGGGGCAAGCTTGGTGAGGGATATTGGCGACTAACTATGGTACAGCTCCTGCAGGTGTGTGCAAGGACCGAGTGTGTGGTGGGCCCTGCTAGGCTAGGCCACAGCATCCGTTGGTTTACACATGAAATGGGGCTAGGGACAGAACTGACCAGGTAACTGCAACCACTAGTGAGTGTGTGGTAGGCTGATGCGAGTGATAAACTGAGCCAGATCCTGTGTTAGCTGGCACACACAGGAGTCTCAAGTTGAGGGTCACCTCTGGTGAGGTTTCTTTGGGAACCTCCCAAACGGATCACTGGACCCAGAACTCCAACCATAGTGAAAAATCACAGGATCTATGTCAGAACTGGATCTCCATGGTTGCTGAGGCCTGTGCAGTGTATGCCATGCCCAAGTGCTCATGGAGGACAAGACAACCAGTTCATTCAGGCCTGCAGAGGACATCTAGTACCATGGAGGGCAGAACAAATTGGCAATTCCCCTGGCTAAGCTTTGACAGTGAGTATCTGGGTGAGTGGAGACTCTAAGGTGGACTATGTCAACCAGTGGATCTTGGATTTCCTCAGCTTTGGAGCAATGATATCAATAGCATCTCCAAACTATCAAAATCACTTAAGCAGAATCCTCAGAACATGCTGCACATTGAGGACCCTGGGATGACATTGGGTGGCAGTCTCCCATTCCTGGGTACTGATGAGGCTGGGCTTCTCTCTCCTCTTTCCACTATCCTCAGATGCAGGAAGGAAAAAGATTGGCGGCAACTGTCTCATCCACTTTCCCCCATTCCTCGACCCTCCCCACCCTAATTGGTGGTTCACATAGACAGGCATCCCTCCCAACCACATAAATATCAGTAAAATCAAAATAAATCTATTACTTTAAAAATAAGCCATTTCAGCTATCATTCCTGAGCTTCACTCTCCCTAATTTTTGTTCCTGAGAATCTTTTCCCAAGATACATGTTTCTCCAGAAGTCCTTCTTTCAGTTGGTTCTCTGGAGAAGCTCAGGTAACATAGGAGCATTGAGACTTTTCTTCCAGGGTCAGAATCTGGTTTGTCCTGAAGCATCCTCATCCCCTATGAGAGTGTGTGGGTTTGATTTCTGACTCTGCCCCTTACACCAGCTTCTTGCTGGGAGGCTCAGGGAACTGGTTGGGTTCCTGCCACTCATGTGAGAGATCCAGGTTGAATTCCGGGTTCCTGGCTTTGCCCTAGCCTAGCATCAGCCATGGTAAGCACGTGGAGTTAACAAACAGACGGGAACTGTGTGTACATGTCTCTCTGCCCCTCACATAAGTCTTTTAAAAATTTTTTCACATTATTTTATTCAATTAGTCATCATTCATTCGTGTATCAATCAAAATAGCAGTGTAAACATTACTAAACCTAAAAATAAAATTCTTTGAAAATTTCAATGTATTGTAATAACATGAGGCTTTCAGAAATTTGATTCATGTATCTATAGGATGAAATTTCTTACTGCTTAATACAATGGGATTCAGAATTAAACTTTTTAAATATCAGGTGATTATCAAAATGTTTTTTTAAAATTCTCAACTGCTTCTGAGTATATGCCAAAGTTGTGATTAAGTGGTGAATGAGGACAAGGAGGATGACAAGCTGGTTCAAAGGAGATAAGAAAAATCACACATAGCCACTTCTCAGTATTCATGAAGAATTGCTTCCAGGGCCCTTGTCCTCTAGATACCCAAACGCATGGCTGCTTCAGCCCTTTATACAAATGGCCTTGTATTTGCACACAACTACATCCTCCTAAACACCTTACCTCAGCACAAGATTACATATAGTGTCCAATATAATACACCAACTACTGGCTACACTGCATTGTTTAGGAAATAATGACAATAAAAACATTTCGGTGTGGTTCAGCACAAATGCTATTTTTTCTTTAACTCACAAACATTTTCTGCCTGAACTTTGTTGAACACAAAAATGCAGAACCCGTGAAAAGGAGGGCTAGCCTATATTATCAGTGGCAAAAAGGAATTCTGAAATAGGACTGCTTAATCCAGACACAAATCAAACTAGCAACTCAAGTACAATAAAGCTGTAATTTCTCAAATGCTGGAAAATAAATCATGGTATTTTACCCAGGTACTTCAATATGGGATGCAGATATTCCAAGTGGCATCTTTAGCATTATGACAATTGCCCATCCCCTCATTCCTTCTTAAGGCTAACGACATTCCATTGCATATACAGGCATTTTGTTATTCAATTCATTCAGTGAACACTGGGGTTGCTTCCACCTTTTGGCTATTGTGAAAAATGCTACTATGAAGACAGTTGTACAAGTATCTATTCAAAGTGCTGATTCAATTCCTTTTGGGTTATTTACAAAGAGGTAAAATTATTGGGTTATATGTTTATTCTAGCTGTAGGGTTTTTTGTTTAAGGAAACCAGGGAGGTCACATTTACAAAGATAAAGATCTGGAAATCCATTCACTATAGTTTCTATTCCTATGTAAGCTATCTCTTGTAATGACTTTACATGCTTCAGGTAAAAATTTTCTGTTCTAAGGAGTTACCCCTTGGATTGTAAAGTAGATTAACAGCAGAGAAAGCAGGAGTTTGGAGTCAGACAGTAATGGTTGGAACACAGTATTTATTTAGTCTAAGACCTGAGGGGTAGTACCCTGCCTTCTCTAAAAGTTTACCTTTCCATGAAATTGAGGCCAATAATACCAATCCTACTGATATTTAAAGAGAATGGACAGGAAGAATCTCACATAGGTCTTCACAAGTCATCAACAGTGTACTTTCTGGGTGCGTTAGTACATAAGACAGAATAGCTCTGGCCCTTGCATCTGGCCACCTGATAACAAACTCTTCTTGGTAGGGGTTAGGATTATTGATTTGTATTTAGAATTTGTTTTGAAATTGATGCTAGGAGTAAGCATTGTAGGGTAGTGGTTTAAGTGACTGAAATATCAGGCTCCCATAATAAAGTGTCAGTTCTCAAGTCCCAGCTTCTCCACTTCTGATGGCAGCAGATGGTATAAGTGCTTGGGCCACAGCCACCCATATTTTATGCTAAGGAAACAAGATGAGCAAAAACAGAAAAGCAAAAAAACATCTTGTCAGGGAAACGCAAATCAATTGTACAACAACAGGCATTCATGGAAACAAGTGAGGTAGAAATAGACATCTTCTTAACTCCATTATAAGCATCCTGTGTTTCCTCATCTTTCTCAAACTTCCCTTGTGTTAAATGGAAATTGTAACTGTTCTCCATGGACTGTTAGGATGACCCAAGGACATCTAGATGGGATAGCACACACAAGGTACGTGCAAAGTGTCCACCAAGCATTGAGATCCAAATACTTCCTGGCTTTAGCACTACCTGCTTAGGATGGCAGGAAAGGTTGTAAAGGTGACAATAACATAGTCAATTTGTGTTTTGGGAAGATCACTGTGAGAGATGATGATGACAGGGGAAGAGAATGTTAGATGCATGTAGGCAAGTTAAGGAACTGTCACAGTAGTCCAGGAAAGAGACACTGCATGCCTTGTGTTCAATATGACAGTGAGCACAGAGTAAATGGAGGGACTTGAGAGGTGGTCAGCATTGTACCATAGTGCATTAGGCTGATGCCTGACATGCTAGCATTCCACATAGGCACCAGTTACTGTTCCAGCTGCTCTACTTCCAATCCAGTTCCCTGAGTGGCAGACACGGATGAGACTCCTGGAGGCTCCTAACTTCAGCCTGGCCTAGCCTGGCCAGTGTGGGAGTGAACCAACATACAGAAGGCCTCTCTCTCTGACTCTAAGAATAATAAATAAGAAAATATTTAAAAATTAGGAGATGAGTCCTGGAGTTCATTTGAATGCAGGAGCCAAAGGCCCAGGAAGAGTCCCCTTGAAGTGATGTCAATCCCTCCTTCCAATAATAAACGACCATAAAAGAACAGATTCTCTTAAAGTTTTATTAAAGTTTAATGGAATAATTAATACTTTATTTTTTTGTTGTTGTTAAGTCCAGTACAAAAATACAGTTGATGACTTGACAAAAATGGCTCTACCCAGGGCTTTAAGGTTTGCATTTCTCCAACAGTAACAGGGGAAAGCATGCTTCCAGCTAGGGCTGACTCCAAGCACACAGCCATTCCTACACGCACATGCGTGCATCAGGGCAGCCCGGGCAGAAGGGGAAAAGGAATGCAGGGATTCAGGAAAAAGCCCAAGGTTATTCCAGGAGAAAAAGGGTGGTAGTGGGGGAAACATCAGGCTGGTCTTCTCAGCAGGACATAGAATTAATGATCTGCACTAAATATTTATCACTTTGTTTACAAAAATTGAGAACCTGTTTCTGCAATTTTTACATCATAGAAAAGACATTACTGATCTCCATTTACCCTCAAGGTGAGTCTAGTGGGAGGAAATGGTAAAGGACACAAATACTGCAGTGTGAAGAGTGAACTTCCAAGTGGCTCAAGGTTTCTGTCAAAAGGTTTCATTTTTTACATTCAACAACAAATCAACATTTGGGTGAGAGGAAGCAGAAGGAAGTTGGCCACGCTGTGGAGGCCAGCTTCAATCGGCAGAATCCTTCCATACTGGGAGCAAGGCTTTCTGGTTGGTTTCGTTGTTCTGGGTTGAGTCTTCAATGCTCCCATCCCTGCTGCCTTCTTTCCAAAACGTTCACTTCAATGGAAGAAGGGCTTTATATACACACGTGTTACAACTCATCTTCAAGACGTTTCTCTCTGAAAGCATCACCGGTCAGCCTTTCCTGAGCTTCCTTCATCCCCTGAACAACTGTCAAACAAAGAGAAAAAAGGTGTATGATGCAGGTCTTTAATATGTGACATTGGACATTTGCTATGTACTTTCAAATGTTGGGAGAATTGTGAGAAGACCAGATTTGGACCTGGATTTTCATCCTAGCAAGTCATTTATCTCTTTGAATTTGTTTTCTCATCTATAAAATGAGATGCTAGTTCCTTCACACAGGATTATTATGAAAACTGAAAGAGAAGAATGGTAATAAAAATGTTTAAGAAATTATAGGGAGTCTTACAAGGTTAGCAGTTACAGTTAGCAGATCCTACAGGGTTAGAAATCCCCTGTTGGCTAATTCTGTCAAGTTAAACTGCAAAACCACCGGAGAGTGTACAATCTGGGAGTGGGAGTGGCCTAGTAGGGAGATAATGGGCTCCTCCCTCTTGAGTGATCACTCCCACTGAAGAGCACGGAAACCAGAACAGGGCCAGGGGTGGCTAGACAGAAAGACACCCAACAGCAATGTGTGTGGGCTGGATAGTGGAGCCGGTTGGGTTGAACCAGGCTTCAATGCCCATTGACATGTATGAGAGCTAAATGGGATGTGGGACAGACTGGACTAGTCTGTTGCACATACTGGCAAGCAAGGGAACCAGGATAGGGGGCAGGCCTGGTGGGGGTTATTGTGGGTCACTCCCACTAGGCTGCAGCTCCCACTGGTTTATGTGAGAGCCAAGTATGTGCTGGGCAGAATCAGGCTGGATTGCAACACCCATTGGTTCCAGTGGAAGTCAGGGCTGAAAACAGAACCAACCCAGCAAGTGCAATGACCAACATGTGCGTAAGCTGATTGGTGCAATGGACTGTACCAGGCCCTGTACTTGCTAGTACACACAAGAACCTGGTCTGGGAACACCTCAGACATAAGTTTCTTTAGGGATCCCCTCAATCGAACTGCCGACTCAGAACCCTAACCATGAAAAAACAGAAGACAGAACAAATCAATTGCCCCAGCCATATGTAGGCAGTGAAAAACTGGGCAAATATAGACTCTAAGATGAACTGTGTCAATCAGAGGATTCTTTAGTGACCTCATCGTGACTGGAATGGCAGGATTGGCAGAAATTCATAACTGTTGAACTATCAAAACAACTTGAGCAAGACCCTCGGAGCATCAGGGACCTGGGATGATGAGTGGGAGACTGGGTGGGGCTTCTCCCTTTACCTCCCCCTTTGCCCCAGATATAGAAAAACAAATGTGGAAATAATAGTCTTACCCACTTTGCTGTAGCCATTGAACCTTTTTACCCTAATTAACTATGTAAAGAATGTTAAATAAAGAAAAAAAAAAAGAAAGAAAAGAAATCCCCAGTCATAGACATTAGTTATTGATTTAGCTTAAAGACAAGGTGCACGCCCATCTCCTGATTCATCCCCAGATACTCACGACAGCTTAGACTGGACCAGGCCAGAATTGAAGCCCACAGCTCAACTATCTGAGCCATTACCTGCAGCCTCCTAGTGCGCAAAATAGCAGAAGCTGTAGTTGGAAGTAGGGACAGGTCTCAAACCCAGGACCTTCCATATGGGATGCAGCCATCCCAAGTGATGCTTTAACTGCCAAGTCAGATGCCTGCCACGCCCGTAACAGATTGCAGATGTTCATGGGACACTAAGGGGAGTGAATACCACCTCTACTATGTGTTCTGGATGAATGTTGCTTTTATTTCATTTTCTGTGGTGTGTGTGTATATACATGCTGGAAGAACTCATGGTCTTCTCTGAACAGGAAAGTCACAACCACTATCAATTATAAGAAGATATTTCCAATAGGCCATGGACAGGGAAGGTATTTGGAACAAGTGGTTAAGCTGCAGGTTGAGATTTCTGCATTCCACATCAGGGTAGTTGGGTTCAAGTCTTAACTCTGGCTCTCAGTTCCAGCATCCTGCGTGTACAGACTTTGGGAGGCAGTAGATGATGGCTCAACTAATTGGATCCCTGCACCCAGGTCTCAGGCAAACAAGCAAAATCTGGTTGAAGGATCTTAGGTACACTGCAAATGAGCTCTTCTATCTTCGAATATCCCTCTTATGGGTTTAATTTCAAGAAGAGCAGGCATGTGGGCAAACAATTGATTGGTGGCCCTGCACTAGCATCCTAGGTTGAGCTGGGCTCTATAAGTATCAGAAAGCAAATCCACTAGCCCATAAAGGCCAGATGATATAGTCTGCCAGCCCTCTTTTCCTTTACTGTACCTTGCTCAGCACTGACATAGAAATACTTGTAACTTGGGTTTCCGCTTTCATTGATGATCTCGGGACGCACCTTGCCACTGGGATCTATAGGAGAGAAGATAGCACAGAGGTTGCAGTAATTACAGCAGAACTACTTCAAACACTACATGGCTTACTAGGCCCTCTGGTAAATCACACCTGGCCATCCTTGAAGCCTATCATCCCACCATCTGAACCCCTGCCTTTCAGGCTGGAGTTACAAGGACTTCCTTGCCATTCACCAAACACGGCATATACTTCCCCACCCCTAGAGTTTGGTACATGCTGTTGACTTTTCCTGGCATGTTCCCCTGCTTGATGACGGTCAGATCAACATGTTTATTTTTATCGTCTACAGATAACCTGGCAGGATGCAAAGCAAAGATTATGTTGTCATTAAATAACTACTAAAACACTATTGTGGAAAGACATTTGTCTGGTTATACTGCCTCAACTGCACTGTGGAGTTGAGAGTGGGAATGATGGTTAATCTCTGGCCCTAGAGTACTCAGATGCTCAGACAGTGGCTGAATGAGCATATGCAAGGCCCAATTCCTGGCACTTGGCTAATGCAGAAGATTTCCTCAACCTTGCATTCCAAACCTCCAACTCTCCCGACACACTGGCTGGCTGGTTTTGGTTTGGGCATCTCAGTAGTTTCACTACATGGAGTAAGGGGCTTCAGTCATTTCTTTGTTCACCATATCATGGATCCCCATCTGAACATCTTGCACCTTACCTAGGAACAAGATTCGTGGAATATAACCCCCATCAGGGCTGAAATCTTCATCTTTGGGTTCCTCTTCATCCTATGAAGATCAAACACAAGTCTTAAGTTAGCTCATATCATTTCTGTGCCTAAAAACCTGTCGGTGCCTTCTAGAGGCTCTCAGAGCAAAACCTCAGGCTGTGGTTGCCATACATGCTCTGCCTCCTGGGCATTTCTCTAACTCTGTGGAGCACCTGCAGGTCAGTCTTCTTTAACAAACAAGTTTGCCAATGCTGTCATCCAGCAAGCCAGACGTGCTCCTAAAGGTGTCTGGGTTTGCTCTCACCCTCAGCCTGGACATCCCTCCCCTGTTATCAACACGCTTACTCCTCTTTCTGCTGCAGACCGACCCTTGCCCCCTGCAGCCCTTTCTCCTATTTAAAATGGGAAACTATCCCCACCACCCTTTATTTCTAGCATTTATCACCATCATTTTTGTTTATGTCTCTCCTCACTAGAATGTTATTTCAGTGAATGACTGTATCTGCTTTGTTCAGTGCCATAGTCCTAGCACCTACATTAATAACCTGCACACAGTATTTCTTGAACCCAAAAACGAATGAAACTGGCATTTTAGCTGTAATTGCAGAGTTTCAGTCCTCCTTGGAGATATAAACATAATCAGTTTTTATTTTTAAGAAGTTTCTGAAGTTGGAGAATGTTATTTCTATCTTCTGAGAAGGATTCTAATTTACCACAGAGGTAATTAGCAGTTCACGTACGTGGGAAATAGACACCCCATTTCAGGGGTGAAGTGGGAGTCATTTCTTCAGACTGATATAATTTTGCCTTGGTGAGTTATATTGGTGTTCAGGCCAACCATCAGCTCTATAGAAATCCCTTAGGTTTCTCAGTATTAATTGTTAACATGTTCAGGAGATTTCCAGTCCTATGTTTAGGTAAACATTATCTTACAGAAACTTTTGACTGGAACTATCATAAAGCATCTGAGAATCCCTCACTTAAACAAAATGACCTCAAACAAAGCCCAGCTGGTTAACAGTACCTATTTTTATCACTTACTACATTCTTATGATTTGATCAATCACATTATCTCCTTCGGGCCTAAGATGATTTCCCCTTAAAGTGGGAAGAGTACCATTTTAAAAATCCCTTCTGAGATTTGATATTCTATAACCTGGGATTCTAAACTTCATAAAGTCTTCAAGAAGTATTCGAAACATACCTCACAAGGAAATAATTACACATATAAACCCTGCACAAAGTAACTATTCAGATCAACCACATTGTGCACGCAGTTGTGGCCTGAACACATGATTATAGCTTTACTGCAGCTAAGACGTAAAACATGTCAAACCATAAACTAAGGGAGAAAAGGACCTAAAACTGAACTCATTCAATGTCTCCTTCCCTATCTCCTCCCAGAGTAGATTCTGGATGGTTCCCTAACGCATCTGATGCAAGCCTGACCACCAGAGGTCGAGGAAAACACACAGATAGGAAGAGCCAGCTCTGCTAAGTAGTGTTTTCTACTATTAATGATGCAAATTCTAAAATAGAAGTCTCAAAATCATAGCAGAGAGGAAAAACCCTCAGTCTTACCTCAAGATTTACCATGACAAAATTATGAGAGAGTTCTGAAATTTCTGTAGATTCTGCAAATTTGGGCTTTAAAGCTAGGAGGAGAAAAAAAAGATTTTGGGATAGAAGAAAACATCACTGTTACATCCAACCCTAGTAAGTATTAAGCATCACTATTTTTTGGTAGTACAGACATTTGCTAAATTGATTTATATAACCAAAACCTACCCCCCCCCAAAAAAAAAGACAGCTGAATTTTGGTCCTAATTCTACCATTTATTTATTTGGCTATCTGTAAGACTTTGTGAGACTTCCTCCCTCTGAAATTTCTACCTCATTTATAAAATAAGGATGAGATAAACTGTACAAGGAATTAGTATTCCAGGAAGTTATGGTACTAGGCAGTATGCGTCTCCTACTTCCAAATGAAAGTAGGACTCCAAGTGAAATTTATAAATACACTTCTAGGTTTTCTACCTTTCCCTATGCTTACATCATGATAGGAAAGTAAACATATAACTTGTGCTAAGGAACTATACTATTGTGATAATGTTCAGAAAAAAAAATGGTGGGGGGAAAAGAGGGAGGAAGGTAAGAGTGAAGTTTTGCACACCTACAAAACTATATGGTGGAAAACAATTTTAAAAAGATAATGGCACATGAATGAATGAAAGCATTACTATTAGTTTTACTTTGATTTATTTATTTGGGCCAACACAGTAGACTAGCTTAGAGGCTAAAGTCCTCGCCTTGCACATCCTGGGATCCCATAGGGGCACCAGTTTTAATTCCGGCAGTCCTGCTTCCCATCCAGCTCCCTGCTTGTGGCCTGAGAAGGCAGTCAAGGACAGCTCACTGGACACATCCTCTGCTGCTTTCCTAGGCCATGAGAAGAGAGTCTGATCAGAAGTGGAGCAGCCAGGACAGGAATCTGTGCCTATAGGGGATGGTGGAGTCACAGACATAGGACTAGCCTTGCAACATCACCATAAGTGGCCACCTCCCTTTTATTTTTCTTATTTTTACAGCTACATTTTAGTAACTTCCAATAATAGAAAATAGAGTAACAACATTCTGCTACATACATATTATGACGTTAATTATATACACTAATTATACTTCTTTTCCAACTAGGATTTTTATTAAGTGTAGCAAACCAAAGAAAAGAAAAAAATCTGCCTGGGGAAAGCACAGGTGTTATAGCTACACCAGCACAAACCACCTTGGATCATTTGCTTCCAATTTCCTCCAGGAAGATTTCCTTAACCATGGGTCAAGTCTCTCACTGTATGGTTTTCAGCTTCCTTTATTTTATTACTTAAATCCATCCTGTATATAACTCTTAATCAACCCATTCTCTAAGCTCCCTGCAAAACTAACTGTTGATTTGATTAAGGTAAAAGATTTTGTTGTGTGAAATGTTCAAAAAGTTCACAGAAAACAGACTTAAAAGTTCAGGGTATGAGCCTAGGTTTTAAGATGTTGTTTGGGATCTGTTATGCTATCCCGTTATGAAGTCCCTGGACTAAATTCTCTGCTGAACTACTGATTCTAGCTTCTTGCTAATGCTTACTCTGCAAGGAAGGCGGAAGGTGATGTTAACCAGGTGAGGAACGTGGATTGGGTTCCTGTCTCCTGGTTTTAGTGTGGCCCATCCATGGTCAATGTAGGCCTGCAGATGTGACCTGAGAGGTAAATTCAGCGTTAGGTGCTTAGCCTAGTGGAGAATACTCCAAACTCACACATCAGCATGCCTGGTTTGAATCCTAGCTCTAGCTCCTGATTCCAGCTTTTAACAACATGAGAATGGTTCAAGTAATTTGGTTCGTTTCAACTGCTTGGGAAACCTGAATTGCCACCTCAGCTTTTGGCTCCAGCCCCAACTACAGGAGGTTTGGGAGGGTAAATGAATAGGGACTCTCTTTCAGAGATGGACAGAGTGAGAGAACAGAGAAAAAGATTATTTTGGTTGCACAAAAGTTTAAATCTATACAGTTTTTTCATAATATGCATTTTTTGGCATGACTTTTTGATGACTCCCCTCTTCCTTCGGTATTCCTTAAAACAATCACAAGGGCTAGGCTCTAAAAAGTTGGTGCTAATATTTGTTAAATATGAACAACTGGCAACACATCTGAAGTTTCATTATAGACTGAGCACTCACACTTACCTTTGCAAGCTCCACACCATGACTTATGGATAATCACCATCAGGGGCAATCCACTTAAAAACAGCACAACAAAGACATTATAATCTGGTCATTCTTTTTGAAACAATCTCTAATAATAAACAACCAGTTCATGGGAACAAAGATTAACGTACAGACATGCAGAATGACTTCAACAGGGATGAAGTTTACAACAAAATCTAAATATTCAGTAACAAATTATATCACAACAAAATTATGGGTAAACTCTGACAATTCCGCAAAGTTTGCAAAGTATGGCTGTAAAACTAAGAAAATATTGTGGAAAAGAAGGAAAACATCAAATTACACTATTTTAAAATGTTTAACACTTTAGACCATTACTAAAGAATTTGAAAATCTTTCATTGTTATATTAAATAAAATGCCTAAATGTAAAATTAAATCTCTATTCTAGTTTTAATTATAGAGAGAAAGCAATTCAATATTATCTGTAGATGATGGAACTATAAGCTTTTCCTTATACTTTTATATTTTCTAGTTTTTCTACAATTAAAGTTTCATAACCAAGGAAGGAAAAGTATACATTTGTTTTGTTGTTAAAACAATGAGCAGCATAACCTGGATTGGCTAGATGAGGTCCCAAGCTCTGAAGGCAAAGTTGTCAATGTAGGCAGCCACTGGCTTTCTCTATCGCACACCCTCTTGCATCACCATACATTGTACAAAAACTACAACTGCACTTCTGTCTACAACCACCTTCCTTCCCTTGGCTTCGACCTTCCCAAGAGCTCATAGCTATCTCCATATCCACTGCCCGAGACATTGACTATTATGGATAGCAAATACTTACAAAGCATTTAATACAGGCTGGGCACTTTTCTATATACAAGTGATCTAACAAGTATTGAGTTACTCAGCTACCACACCTTAGGCCTTTTCGAAATCTGGGATGGACAGATTCCTCTAGTACCTATACAAGCTTGTAACCCTAACAAGCAAGGAAAGTTTAAGTGGGTAGTGGGATTTAGCTAACCATACCAGAGTGTATTTATTGTGCTATATGCTTATACGTATGATCTCATTTGAATTCTTAGAACCCTACAATAGGTATATTTAATGATCTCAAAATAGAAGTATGTGACCCTCACAAGATTAAATATTTAGCTACCTTGCTTCTGTCACTTACTAGCTAACTCAAAAGTCTAATTCCAATACCAATATTGCATTACTTTAATTTAGAATGTCAATCCAGAGGGCTGACATTGTGGTACAGCAAGAAAAGCCATTGCCTGTGACACCAGCATCCTACATGGGTGCCGGTTCAAGCCTTTGCTGCTTCATTTCTGATCCCTGCTAACACACCTGAGGAAGTAGAAGATGGCAGAAATGCCTGGTTCTCTGCACCCACTCAAGGGTCCCAAGCTCTCAAAGCAAACAAGCTAACATTGGTAGCCACTGGCCTTCTCCACTACACAAAGAAGCACCTGGCTCCTGGCTTAGGCCCAACCCAGCCCTGGCCATTGTGGCCATCTGGGGAGTGAACCAGTGGATGGAGGACCCCTCTTTCTCTGCCTTTCCCCTTCTCTATCTCTGCCTTTCAAATAAATTATTTTTTTAAATGCAGATACAGAAGCTGTGACAGAACAAGATGTGCCTACTGCTTCCTTTCCCTGACCCGCCTGTCAATTCTCTCCTAGAGCTCAACAGGCATTTTCTCTTATAAACAAAAACAGGAAAACAAAAACAGGGCATGGAACAGCAGCTTTGCAGCTAAAGTACTTGCTCTGCCAAGATCCCATATGGGCACCATGTTGTGTCTCTGCTGGTGGCCTGGAAAAGCAGTAGAGGATGGTCCAAAGCCTTTGGGATCCTGTACCCCCACAGGAGACCCAGAAGTTCCTGGCTCCTGGCTTCAAACTGGCTCAGTTCTGGCTGTTGTGGCCGCTTGGGGAGTGAACCAGTGGATGGAAGATTCTCTCTGTAAATCTGCCTTCCCAATATAAATACATTTTTAAACAAACCCAAACCTGGACAATTCATAATCCCAAGGTTGTTCCCAATCCAATCAATCATCAAACAGCTTAAAATAAAGGTTGGAAAAATCTCTTGAGGTAGACTGTGCATACCTCTGTTTCACATATAAATCTTCTCTTGCCTATTGGAAACATAAGGTGGTCCAGATCACCCGATCAGCACTCACCACTGATCAAGACGGGCATCCGCCCCACTTCTTAACAGCACGCATACATTAGAATGCCATACTGCTTCCTTCCTCCTGTGCCGGTCACATCCATCCTTCTAGAGCAGGGACTGGATTTTGTAAGCCAAATGCAGCTAGTTCCCCGTCTCCTATTCGGTGGCCCTTAAAGTATTTTATTTATTTTTCAATAATTGAAAAGCAAATTTAAAGAATATTTTGTGACACGTTAGACTTACTAAATATTGCCCACATTTCGGTGTCCATGGTTTTAGCACACATTTCTCATTTGTCTGTTTCTACACTACCAACATGCTATGCTGCGTACAGTTTGAATATTTACTACTTGACCCGGCTAACCATCGTTATAAAGCAATTGCTCACATATTGGTTATTTGCGTACGGTGCTCCCAAAACACCTCCCGGACAGATGATCCTTCTCCCGACTGGGCTCCCAGTCAGCATCCTTTCACCACCTGCCCCTGTAATCCCACATCATCCATTTACTTGGTCTGTTTTTCGCTTAACAATTTCTTAAAGGCAAACAGTACCTAATTTGTCTTTGAAAATCACAGGCACTGGTAAAACAGGTACCTACTATTTGCCCAATGAATCCAAGTGACTCAAACATGTGCTTGGAAATGCGGCACAGGAGTTGTCTAAACATAATAGCTATAAGAAAGAACAAGCAAATTCGACTCCCATTAAATGCATATAACACTACAGCCCATCCAACTACTACATTAGGTTAAACACCACGTGGAACGGTTATTACAACGCTCTACTTTCAAATATTTTTATTAAAAGAAATAATTTAGTTCCATGTTCACAAAAACCAAAGCTTCCTAAGGATAGAAACCAATGGATTCAACTTTGAACCCAGTGTGAAGATAGAAACTAGTGAAAAGCAAGTATAGAATTTAAAAACTGCATGAAGGAAACAGCAGTGTAGACACAGATCTGTCTGTGCTTCAGTTTCTGTTCAAAATCTCAATGATCCAGTCGGCACTCCCACATGGCAGGTGCAGCAGGTCAGCTGTCTGAGCCATCCCCAAGAATCCGATTCGAACCAACGCTATCCACCTGAGCGCGGATTCTCTCAGCTAGTTCTTCATTCTCAGCGTGCCTGTCAACTCCCTTGGGCCGGGCCGGGCCAGGCAGTCAGAAGCTTCGAGACCCTGGCAACGGAGCAAAGCCCACGCTCCATCGGACCCAGGCTTCTCCCTTGGTCCCCTTGGACTTAGCGCAGGCTCCGGCTCAGGTACTGAAGAAACATGTTGGCCAGCTGGGGCAGGTTCTCGTGGTTCGGATGCATTTTGGTGTAGGAAATAAACTGGCGACGGAGGCGACTCAGTTCGGCCAGAGTCCAGGGCCGGGTAAACAGCAGCTGCTCCGTGGTGCCGGGAAGCGTAAGCAAGTCCCCGGGAACGGCGCTCTTTTGCGCTTCCATCAGGCCGGTCAACACCTGGCTGGTGGCCTGATCCAGCTGGTGCAGAAAGCTGCCGGAGGCGAGGGGTTGGGACTGCGTGGACTGATGGGGTGGGGGGGCCCGGTTCTCAAACAGGGCGGCTTGGATCTCCGCCAAGGGCAACGGCTCCTCCAAGCCCACCACGGTGAACAAGGGCCGGTCCCAGCGGTTCCGGGAGTCGGGGGCTTCAAACCGCAGAGCTAAGTCCTCCAGGGCGCCGGTCACAGGCTCTGGGGACGGCTCGGCCCCCGGGCTCCCGAGGGCCGGCGTGTCCTCGAGCTCCGTCGGCACGTCCAGCCCGGAGCTCGCCGCCTTGGGTCCCCCGTTCACCTCCTCGGTGCGCGGCCGCCAGCTGCCCGGGACGCCCCGGCTGCGACTCCCCTGGACCCCCGCTCCCGGCTCCGGGGCTGCCCGGCCGCCGCGCCCCGGCTGCACGCAGTAGACCAGGCAGAGAGGGGTGCGCGCCGCCCGCGCCAGGCAATAGAGCTCGTAGCGGAAGCCCTTGATGTGGTTCAGCGAGTCCAGGATGACCACGTCGTGGCGATTCAGATGCCGCTCCACCGAGGCCCGCAGGGCGCCGCGCAGCGCCTTCTCGCGGGCCGAGTCCCCGTACGCGGCCGCATCCTCGGTCCCCAGCACCGAGGCGTCGTCCACCACGTGCACCGCGCGGCCCTCGGCCGCCAGCGCCGCGCGCAGCTGCTCCGCACGCCGGCTCTTGCCGCTGGCGGGAAGCCCGCACAACACCACCAGCGGCATCCCGTCAGCCGGCGGCCATGTGCCGCTCCCCGGCCACAACTTCCGGGTGGCCCGCGGCTCCGACGTCAGCCGGAAGTGCACACTGCACTTCCTGTCTCCCGTGACCACCCTGCGGTTTCTACGGCAACGGGAGCGTCCTGCCAAGGAGGCGCCCGGCCAGCTTTCTCACACACTGAAAAGGCACGCCCCAAGTCACAGGTCTCAGGAGAATGTGATCTCTCTGCGGCTTAGCAGCACGCCCATCTATTTATTTAACAAAACCGTAATGAGCCTTAGATACCGCAACAACATTTGGGGAGTTCTCCCACTCTCCTGTAAAATGTTTATTTTGTTACCATCTCCATCATTCTGCATCTCCACAGCAAGAAATTCATCAGAGGTGGACATGACACAGTTTCCCCCAACAGACCCAGGAGTTGAGAGGGAAAAATCAGTCCCCCACAGTCGGCAATAAATGCTATAATGGGCAAGATGTAACTTAGACTACGAAGGAACAGAAGAGCAGAACCAGCTGCCCAGAAACATCACTGAAGACTCCGGAATTGTCATTTGATTTACAACTCGAAAGCATGAAAGGCACGTTTCTCCTAGTCTATCTCCGATAAACAAAAACAACAATAAAAAAGGTTTTGTTTGTTTTACTATCAGTATCTCCCAAATAGTGCATGGACATATTTAAAAGTACTTGTTTACCTAAAAATTCCAACTTACGGGGCAGGTGTTTGGAGTGCCTGAGGGTGGCGCCCTGACTCTGTCCTGGATCCCAGCTTCCCGTCTACTGCACAACATGACAAGATGGAAAGCTGCCAGTGATGGTTGAGTCATCCACTTGGGAGACCTGGATCAAGCTCCTCCCTTCTGCCATCACCCTGGCCCAGCCCTAGCCATTGCAGGCATCTGAAGAATGTGATTGTGGCTATTAACGCCCTTTGTCTCTTTCTCTACTTCTCAAATGAAAAAAGAAACAAAGAAATTTGAGGAGGCATCCTTTATTCTTGTTTGCTAAGTTTCGGAGATCTGCTCGTGCAGAGGCACAGAACCCACAGGATCTGCTCTGGGAACAACATGCACTACGGCTTGCCAGGAGCAGGGGCGTGAATACACCTGTGCAAGTATGCGTCTGTGGGACGCCAGCGTAACAGAGAGTGTACAGCGTAAGAGAGCATTCAGTTAGCTTTGCCACTGACTAGTGCTGGCAGTTTATGTAACTTTTCTATACTTCAACTCATTCTTCCAACCCAAACCCTAACAAACGCCCTTGTTTTATGTCTCAGCAAGCTAAGCTGCTGCTTGCAAGGCCAAATATCTCATGTTAGAGGTCTGCTTCATGTCTCAGGCACTGTGCTTCTCTGATCCAGCTTCCTGCTAATGCGGCAGAAGGCAGCAGCAGATAGCCCACGTGCTGGGATTCCTGCCACACATATGGGACATCAGCATGGAGTTTCTGCCTCCTGGGTTCAGCCTGACCAACACTTGGCTGTTGCAGCCATTTGGGGAGTGAATCAGCAGACAGAAGATCTTTTTGTCTGTGCTTCTCTCTGTAAATCTGTCTTTCCAATAAAAATAAATAAAAATCCCACATACAGTGATGTCATAGGGTTAGGGTGTCACAGGTTGCTGGAAAGATTAAACCAATTTGTGCAAACTACTTAGACCAGCACTTTGCTTTCCCCCTCCCTGCCGCTGTGATGATTACGATTCTCCCCCTTAGCTACTAAGACATCTGTGTGTAAGCTACATAAACCTCCTCAGGACTTGAGACCATTCAACTAGTGTCTGGTGGGCAGTACAGTACACTGGTTCACAGTGCAGCCTCCAAGGTCCACATGCCTGTGACTGAATCTTGGCCCTACCAAGCTGTGTGATCGTGGGCCAGTTACTTTCCTGCTCTGTGCCTTCGCTCGCTCAACTCTAAAACGAAGGTGACAAGAACACTCAATTGTTGTGAGAACTGAATGAGTTAATCCGTATAAAAAGGAAGCACTTGGCCAAAGTTAGCGAGTAGTAGTGCTGCTGCTGTTGCTAGGCAACCATTCAGCCAGCTGCCCTGGCTAACTCTTTTACCTGAACACCAAGTTGATAGCTAGGGAGGGTTTTATCAGCATAAACGGCATCGTACCTGGCAGCTGCTTCTCTCTTCCCGTCCTCGAGTGTCCTCCAATGAATGTGATCTCCAAAACCTGGAAGGAAAAGAGCACTGTAAACATCCACAGAGTGAACAAACAGCCCAGACCCAAGAAACAAGTGAGCGTGGCCCGTTCACAGACAGCCACGGAAAAGGTACCCTCCCGTGTGGCCTCTGGTCAGCTCCTAGCTCCACTGCTTTCTGGGTGTGTGGGATGACGCCACATCCTGCATCTTAAGCCTCATCCCTGTCAAGTGAGAGAACTCCATTCTAATCGATCATTTCTAAGGAGATTAAACAATGACATGAGATGCTTTGCAAACGATCACAGAGTATGCCAACAATATTGAAAGAATCAGAGTTTTCCAAAGAGTAAACATTCATCCAGTTGTAGCTAATCATAAGCAGTGGAAGGTGGTAACCGAAACAGCTGGGTCTGTGAAGTCCTGATTCTTCATCTTGCTGTCCTCTGTAAAATCAAGACAATAAAACTTGCTTCTGAGTCTTGGCATAAAGATTAAATCACATGGGCCTAGCGGCGTGGCCTAGTGGCTAAAGTCTTCACCTTGAACACGCCAGAATCCCATATGTGTGCCAGTTTTAATCCCAGCAGCTCCACTTCCCATCCAACTTCCTGCTTGTGGCCTGGGAAAGCAGTTGAGGACAGCCCAAAGCCTTGGGACTCTACCCATGCGGGAGACCCGGAAAGAAGTTCCTGGCTCCTGGCTTCGGATCAGCTTAGCACCGGCCATTGTGCTCACTTGGGGAGTGAATCATCGGATGGAAGATCTTCTTCTCTGTCTCTCCTCCTCTCTGTATATCTGACTTTGTAATGAAAATAAAATAAATATTTAAAAAAATGATTAAATGACATAATAGATTTTAAGCTATTGCTGCTGTTCTCACAGTTCAGTCAGAGTGGAGCCTGTGCCATGGTGAGGCAGGTGCCACCCCCCACAACCTCATTTTCACGTGGTTCCCAAGATCCTACAAGCAAAGGTACTGTGACTTCTTTACATGTAGTGTATACTTTCTTCTCTCCAGACATTCACAATTGCTACTATTTCTGCCTTTTCTCATTCTTACTCCTCATGTATAGGCCTCCTGAGGGCATTTCCTTTGGTAAATCTTGCCTGACTCCCTAAAAACTCAATCCTTAAACCATTACTGCACTTTCCAGGCTGAATTACAGATGTTCCTGGATATGATCCAGCTCTCTTAGTCCAAGGAAAATTCCCTAAGGCAGACCCTATTAGTCATCTCCATCAAATTTCCCAAATATTTTTTTTCTAAAAAAGACTTTTTGGGGCTAGCACAATGGCTTAATTTGTTGATCCTCTACCTGTAAGCATTAGCATCCCATATGGCTGCTTCACTTCCCATCCAGCTCTCTCCTTATGGCCTAGGAAAGCAACAGAGGATGGTTCAAACCTTTGGGACCCTGCAGCTGCATGGGAGACTTGGAAGAATCTCCTGGCTCCTGGCTTCAGATCAGCTCACCCAAATGGCCATTGCGGCCATTTGGGGAGCAAACCAGCAGTGGATGGATGATCTTTCTCTGTCTCTCCTTTTCTCTGCCTTACCAATAAAAACAAAATTTATTTATTTGAAGGAGTTACAGTGGGACTGAGGTGGGGAAAAAAGAATCTTTTGTCTACTGGTTCATTTCCCAGATGTCTGCAATGGCTAGCACTGGTCAGGTTGAAGCCAGGAGCTTTACCCAAGTTTCCCACATGAGTGGCAGGGACCAAGCTCTTGGACCATCCTCTGCCACTATGCTTGGTGCATTGGCAGGAGCTGGATAGGAAGTAGGACAGCTGGGACATGAGCCAGGGCCTGTATGGGATGTTAGCATTGTAGGCACAAGCTTGCTCACTAAGCTTCAATGCTGGCCCCAATTATCCTTATGTATTTAGCAATACTCATGACCTTAGTAACTACTCAGTAAAATATTACTGGACAGATGGATCTGATTTAGGCCACATCCCACAAAAGACTTTGTGTCCAAAAAGCATTAGTGATCATAATAAAGCTACCTGCTATTTACTGGCCTGTTTATATGTACACAGCATGCTTTAAGCTTTTCCTCACTTAAACCTGGCCTTGGGGCCAGCACTGCAGCCCAGTAGTAAAGCCACCTCTTGTGTCCCTGGCATCCCATACTTAGTGCCCATTCAATTTCCAGCTGCTCAGTCTATGATCCAGCTTCCTGCGAATGTGCCTGGGAAGGCAGAAGATGGCCCAATGGAGTTTCTAGGTCCTGGCTTTGGCTGTCACATTCATTTGGGGAGCGAATCAGAAGACAGAAAGTCTCTCTCTGCCTGTCTTTGTATCACTGCCCTTCAAATAAATAAATATTAACAACAAAAAAATTCACTTTGATCTTTAACTTCCTGTTGCCTCAGTTTCCTACAGTTAAGACGGGTATGATAACTATCTCATAAAACTATTCCTGAATATTATAAAAAACATAGGTTAAAAACTTAGCATCATGTTTAGTACATAACAAATGATGTACTAATCTTCAATGGTAACAAATTCTTGGTCGACACTTTTGAGGTTCTGAGAAGTCACATAACCAGGTCACATAGCTGCTTAATAGCCAAACTGGGATTGAAACTCCAATCCTATGTGCCTTTTTGGTTCCTACACTTGTCTCATAGAACTTTCTTTCCCAGAAATAAATGCAAAGAACGTTTCATCAGGGCTACCACAGAGAAATAAAAGCCCATCCAAACCAGTACACAGAGGTAGGATCCAAACAAATCAGCATCATTTTAAATTCCCAACAATATGGAGAGCTGGCAAAAGGACTGTGACACACCCCAAGCACCTAAAGTCTAACCCTGAAGAGTGAACTCAGGAGGATGCCCAGGGGAACTGAAAGGTGCCTCACATGAGCACCATCGCTCTACTCATCAATACCTAAACAGACAACGGAATTCTGCTTTGTGGGGATGCCTGATGACTAACTATCCATCCACAAAACAATGACATCCTAGATAAATCAGATTTTTAGGATGGACTCGCTGTACCCACAGTAATCTCTCCACAAAGTAAACTAAAACTAGACAATGAGCAATGAGCAACAAGAAGGCCCTGAAAGCAAACGCAACCTTATGTCAACCTAACCCTTCAAAAAGAACAGAGTGATTCCAGGCCAGTGGTATTCCCAGGCTCCAGAAGAGGCAAACACCAAACCTGTCTAGAGCAAAGCAGCCTCTACTTTAGGCCTCCAGAGGAGCCAGAGATTCAGTCACAGGATACCCAAAACACCAGAAAACAAGTCACCACAGGCAAGGGCTCAAGTACCAAATAGATCTGCACACTGGCATTGTGGCATAGTTGGTTAGGTCAAGTCCATAGACCATATTGGATTGCTTGGGATCCTGCACCCATGTGGGAGACCCGGAAGAGGATCCGGGCTCCTGGTTTTGGATCGGCGCAGCTCCAGCCATTGTGGCCACTTGGTGAGTGAATCTTCAGATGGAAGATCTTCCTCTCTGACTCTCATCCTATCTATAGGTCTTTCTTTCCAATAAAAACAAATAAATCTTTTTTTTTTAAATTGAAAGTAAAATCCTTTTTTTTCCCTTTCAAACATGGCTTAAAAGGCTACAGTGTTTACTTCATTATTAAAACCATCAACTTCCTGGAACCACCCATAATCACACCCATCCAACAGAACATCTGAAGACAGTCCAGCTTTCCACAGTGGCCCCTGCAGAGCCCATTCATGCCAGTTATCTGCAAAATAAATTAAACATTCTACATCAGAAGCTCTTTCACTAAAACACTGATTAGAGAAGAAAAGCAGTAAGTTCTAAATATTTACATCAGAATTTCCAAGTTTTTCAACCTACAACTGTTTTAACCGGTCTAAAATAAGAACATCAGACAAATATTATCCACCTCCTCCCAGCTGGTTAAATAACAAAAGGTCAACTTCAGAGCTGAAGGCCAAACCTCTAACAGGGAAAATTGTACCACAGGGGTAGAATAACACAGACTAAATAATGTCTGCCTGTAGCCAAACAGAGCCACTTAATATTTTCACAAATGCAAAATACTGAGGCTGGAGCCATGTCTTAGTGTATTAAGCAGGCACCAGTTTGTATCCCAGCTCCTCCACTTCTGAAACCAGCTCCCTACTAATGCGCCTGGGAAAGCAGCAGAAGATGGCCCAAGTGCTAGGGTCCCTGTGAAGCATGTTGGAGACTCACATGGAGTTCCTGGCTCCTGGTATCTGCCTAGCCCAATCATTTTTTGGTCTTTTGGCTAAGATTAAGTGCAGCCTGGCCCAGCTCTGGCCATCGCACCTATTTGGGAAGTGAACCAGTGGATGAAAGATTTCTCTGTCTCTCCCTCTCTCTCCGTGTAACTCTATCATTCAAATCAATAAATCTTTTAATAATAATTAATTTCAAAAATCCATACCAAAGAGGTATCTAAAGGTTGAAATACTAATTCCTTTCAGGAATAATTAAATATAATTTTATGAGAAGAAATAATAGCACTTAACACTTACAAAAGATTTTCCAAGCATGTGGCACAATATTGAATGCTTTCTATTTTTTTGTTTTTTATCAAATTTTCATCACCTCTATGCCAGGTTGCCCTTCCTTCTGCTCCCCTAGTTATCTGGTATGACCCTGCCCAAAGCACCTAGCACGTGGTCTCATCATTGTCATCTTACTTGTCCTGGTAAGCTGAAAAAGGACAGGAAGCACAACAATAATACTTACCACTCATTTGTTCTCTGGACAAAATATTCCTGCGCATGAACATGACAGAAGTGGTCCCGACTCACTCTAGTAGGCACCACTTCTTCCCAAAACTGGTTGCAACAGCATCTCCTGTTTCCACATATAGTCTCCTTACAATGTGACATCAACATCTCTCCCACTGGAGATGGGAATGTCAATATCCCTTCTCCTTGGAACTTGGAAGGCTGGAGGACAAAAACAGCATACATATCCACCTTGTTCTAACGTGGCACTGACGCCTGTCAGGTTGCCACACTGTGAGGAAGTCCACAAGTGCCTATGCAGAAAAGACCACATCACCAGCTCAGCTCAGATCTCAAGCATGCCCAAGAACAGTAAGCCTTCCCCACCGTGCCTCCTGCAAAGTCCTACCACAGACTCACGAGACACCTGTGTATTCTTTCTGCCTTTAAATGGTTAAGTGATTTCTTATGGAACTAGACTAACTAGGATAATTATGCAGAACCTAACATCTAACAAGGAATAGATACTGACTATGTGCCTTTGGATATTGCTTATACTTAACATAGCAACTGAGCACATTATGTGCTGAAGATTTGGGGTAGTTATAGCAATCTGCAGATGAGGCACAACAAATTCAAACTCACATCTAAACTCACACACTTAATACTATATTCTTCTAGGGCTCGTGCAGTGACCCAACAGGCTAATCCTCCACCTTGCAGTGCCGGCATCCCATATGGGTGCTGGTTCTAGTCCCGTCTGCTCCACTCTAGCCTAGGAAAGCAACAGAGGATGGCTCAAGTCTTTGGGCCTCTGCACTAACCTGGGAGACAGGAAAGAAGTTCCTGACTGCCAGTTTCAGAGCTGGGAGCTCCTCCCATTATAGCCATTTGGGGAGTGAACCAGCAGATAGAAGTTCTGTCTTTCTCTTCTCTCCGTAAATCTGCCTTTCAAATAAAAACAAATCATATATACATATATATAGTCTTCTGTCCACAACATTTTTAGAAAATACATGTCTGTTCTAAAACAGGAACATCAATACTGAAATCTCTGGCCTAGGGCACCTGCAGGTGCAGTTTCACCACCAAAATACCACAAATAGCTTTCTCAAGAATGTCTTCCCTGGCACTCCTAGTTCAGATAATTCCTGTTCCCCCTGCAGCTTTCCCACTTCTTATTCCACTGCATTCTCTTTCCAGCGCTTATCCCCACCTGAAGCTGTCTGGTATAATACTTTGTTCCTGGGTCCACTGAAGCGGCACCCTCATCTGTTCTCTGTACAGCTGTGTCTCCTGTGCCAGGACAGTTTCAGAAACGTGGCAGACCAAGAACTATTTACTGAATGAAGGTGTGACAGCATTCAAACGGACTAAACATGCAACCTCATTTCCCCAACATGTGTGCACACAGGAAGGATAAGAAAAAAAATATTGAAAACAATAGCATATTACTCAATATAACTAGTCAATACAAAAAGAAAATGGAAGGGTATTGGAGATTCATGCTATAATTTACCTGGTTAGAAAAGTAGAAACCCTAAGCTTACACAGCCAAACCATTTTCAACTAAGGAAGAGTTCATGAAGAGAAAAGCATGCTAGCTTGGAATGAAGATGCAGAAATGGGGCAGGGAGAAGTCACAATCCTGACGTCCATTCAAAATCACTGAAATCTCAAAACAGATGTCGTTTCTTAAGACACACTGGCTGAATCACATCAAAGACAAGTGTGGGTGACCCTCCAACGAGACACATCTTACTGTGGTGCAAGTGCTGTGTGCCCAGCGCGAGGACGAGGTGGTCACCCAACTCCTCAGTGATAACGCTTTAACTTCAAGCGAGGGGAGTTCGCATTTACAGGTCGAAAGGTGGCCGCTCCCGAGGACCTGACACATGCCAATAAAGCATGCAGACCTCTTTTGCTTTTCCTAGTTTCAGGGTTCTTCCTTCCTCCAACCCACGAATTGAGAGGCCTCACAGCACCACTTCCCATGGTACTCCCCAGAACCGCTCACTACTTCCTACTCCAATAAACCCTCAAACTCCAGGAGCGTTTGGGGACCCTAACGAGAGATCCGGAGTGGCCCAAGAGAGGGGAACGACGTTAGGGCAAAGAAGAGGGTTCCATACAGAGTAGGTGCCCGAGAGCAATCAAGGTAACAACGTGATCTGACCCTTTCCAAGCCCAATGTGGCCGTCAGAAGAGGTGACGAGGAGCAGCAAACTGAAGCCCAGCAAACAGGTGGCCCCTAGACGAGCCGGCATCTCCATGGTCGCAGATGCGCGGGACCTCACGGCGCTCAGTAGACGCAGGGGCTGAGTCCCGAGTCAGCACCCGCCACTCCTCGGCTGCCGCTCGACTCAACCCTTAGCCTTCCCAGATTGTTTTTTTTTTTCTCCCCCAAACTCCGACGGAAGTGATGTTAGACGGATGTGGGTGGTGCCTTCGGGGTCCCCAGAGGGGCAGGAGTGAATTTAAAGGTACCGTTCACGCAAAAGGTTGCGCGGGTAGCTCTCAGTCTCGAGTAGCTTTCGCTGGGTTCTGCACGTCTTGGGTCCGGTGACGAAAAACGAGGCCCCAGGCGGGAAGATGTTCAGGAGAACCGTTGCTGGCGGCGTCTCCAGGCTAGCCCCTCCCCCCGCCCGCCTAGAAAAGCTGCACTGAATATTCCAAATGCAGAATACGGGTGGGTCAGGGCTGCGGTTCCCAGAAATGAGCAGGTTGCCTCTTTCCCCCTCCGTAAAAACTGGAAACCGGGTTGTCTAGGCTCCTATTCCGGCCTCTAAAAAGACTTGGCAAATCCGTTCGGCGGGTTCCGTGTCTCCTGCCTGGCAGGCATGCCCTTTCCCACTACAGAAGCAGCTGTGAACCTCTTCCTCCCTTGTTGCATGATCTACTCGAAGATGGTGCAACCAGCTGATGCAAGCTCCAAGAAAACGAAACTTGGCGCTTCGGATTGCAAAACTGACCACGGTGGACTTAGGGAACCAGGACATAAGTCACCGCCAGCATTTTAAGTGTCACGTTTCTCTGGTGAAGTCTATTTGTGTTATGAGCGGACTATTTCCGCGCCCCCCCCCCGCCCCGCCTTTCTGCAGCAAACAGCCCAGATTTTCCCGCCTTTCCTCCTGGTACTAGCTGAATCTACACAGTGCGGACTTATTGCATAGTCAAAGACATCTAGATGGAAGCACACACCCACCTATAAAACACACAGCTCCCGTTTGATTAGATGCCCTGCAAAAGTGTTAAGAACAGACACAATAGGACACTTTGGGGACCGCCTGCTCCGGGATTCTGCGCGGCTACCTGCACCTGCCGCCAATGAGAGGCACGAGCATGCGCAGAGCATCCTGGGCGTCGTAGTTCGGGCAGGCGCTCCTCACCGATAGGCTGCTCGGGAGAGGCAGAGGCGGGCCGGCGGAGTCACGTGGACCCGCTCCCGCCGCCGCGGCCGCCGCGGTCGTCTTTCTCTGTTTCGCTGAGGCAGCCATCTTGCTCTGGCCGCGTGCTGGTGTTGGAGGACCCTCCTTGCTTCAGGTGAGACCCCCGGCCGTCCCGCCACTGCACGGCCATAGGCCGCTTCGCACGGTCTTCCCCCGCCCTCTTCTTCCGACACCCGCCAACCGCTCGGGCTGCCACTTCCGCCGTGGCGCGGCGAGCGGGGGCGGAGGCGGCTGGCTTGGCCTGTCGGTTACCGGCGGCGCAGCTGGGGGTCGGCACCTGAGGGAAGGCACCCCGCACCACCGCTCGCTCCCCGTGCGGGCTCGGGGTGGGGGTGGGGGAGCGAGCGAGCGGTCTGTGGCCGCCCAGATCCGGTCGCCGCAGGCGGGAGGCGGGGTGGGGGAGGTGGAAAGGGGACGCCCCCTGAGCTGGTCGTTGGAGTTCACTAGTCACGACCACAGTGCTGTGTGCCCGGAGCAGCATAGCGAGCCTGTCTGGTCATCGCACTTGGTCCTCCTGACTGCACATAGAGAGGACTCAAGCTGGCATCTCTAGCCTGGCAGCTCTGGGCACCGGATTTCCTCTGCAGCGCCCGTCACCTGGCCGTGGCAGTGTTTGTTTACAAGTCTGCCTCCTCGGTTGAAACATTGCCAGTCGTGATTATCTCCCGGTCCCTGGACCCACCGCGCACAGGGTTCACAGCTGGTGAATGGCAGTTTCTACTTCCGTTCCCACGTTCTTTGACTGTAGCCGGCCCCTCGGAACTGGTAACAATAGTTGCCAATTCCTGAGCTGTCTCGCGAGCCATACCCTGTACTTGAGCTGTGACCCTTTTAGCCCTCAAAATCAGCTGGGAAGTAGCTGGTATTAGTACCTTCTCTAATGCAGAAGAACATAAGTTCAGAAAAGCTAAACAACAACAAAAAAACCCTGTATCTTAGGCTTTCCAATTGCAGAACCCGTGCATATATTCTTGAAGAAACCTCGCATAATAAAATTTGGGACTAAAGGTTGAAATGATTCTTATCTCTGTGCAAACAACGATGTATGTGTGAAAGTGCCTTTCACTATGCTTGAGCACTTCGGCACCCAGTAAATACTGATTAACCTCATTATTTACCTCCTTTGAGTCCTTGAAGAAAGTCCTTCTGGAAAATCCATTGCCTTAAAGGAAGTCACCTGCCCCTGTGGAGCCCCAGGGAACGTACCTCTTCCAGGCTCATTTCACTGAGGTACTAAATTGAGACAGAAGCCAACAACTTGTTTGTAACTGAGGCCTTGCTGCTTAAAAAGTAGGTGTTGGAGAAGGCCTCGTGGAAGAGAGGTGGATGAAATAAAACGGTTGGAAGGGCTAGGGCATTAAACCTAGGTCATCTTTGAGGTGGGCTCCAGATCCTGAACCTATTTCTCAGGCTGAGTCAGATCCTCTTTGCTACCTGAAGTCCACAGACTCCCTTGATGACAAAGGTCACCCTTCATGCTTTCCTGCTGCCCTAAGTTTCCAGCCTGCCCAGAATGCTTTTGTTCTATTTAGGTATCCCCCCCCCCTTGAGATACTCTGGGAATAATGTGTCTCACTTCTGTTGTGCTGATCACCTGGAATGGAATCTGTTCTTCCATCCACACATTGACAGAGTTCATTTGTTCTCACTTTTGATACTTTGCCTTTCCCACTTCCATCACGTCTGTCAAAGCTCCTTCACGATTTACCCTGTGTTTTCTTATTTTTCACTTTGCTTCTTTTCTACAAAAGGTTACACAGGCTTCTTGTTCACGATACCCTCCTGGCCATATCCCTTTGGGAAAACTGAATATTGGCCTTTTAGGAGTATTTGAGGATAGGGATGGTACTTCATGTTTTAGATTCTGAACTCACTTCCTCCTATAAAAGTGATTTTAGCTACCTAAATATTGTGATTATGGTGTAGTACTAAGAGAGGAATCTAAGACATTCTAAATATTTGGGGAACTGAACTTTAGCCTCAAAGCAATGATATATACAGGTTAGTGTGTAAGTATAGTTTCAAACAGGACGATTAGTAATTATGTTTGATTCTCCCTCTCTCCCCCTTTGTTAACGAAAAGAAAACCTTTAGGGATTGGCCAGAAAAAGATTTGATAACAGCCTCCTGGCTTATTCCCTTGTATCAATAATAATCTGTTGAGTCACAGAACACATGAAACAAGACTTTTAAATTGAATTTTGTTTATATAGTATGCAATGTTATGACCCACTTATAAGCTTAAGGTGTTTTTTTTTTTTTACCTCACCTCTTTAGTGGGAATGTCATCTGCCACTTCCAGACTAGGATTTATTACTTAATAATGTCCTTAGAAATCTCAAAGTAAAAACTGGCTTTACACAGCTTGTGTGTCAGGTATGTTCCCTCCGTCCCTAAATTCGCTCTTGCGGTAGAGAGATGCTTTTGTCAGATGGTGCTGTAAAGCACTGGCTCTCTGTAAGATCAGACACTGGATGGGAATAGGGAGTGAGTGCATGCTGGCGAGTGCTGCACAAGCGCCAGTGTCTGCAAATGTGATTAAGATACCATCTGACCTTGACTAGAGGACACTACGACCTCATATCTTGACAACTAGACAACCTATTGTTGAACTCCTTTGTCCAGCCGTTTAAAAAAATGTGTATATGGTTTGTAAGAATAATAGAATATGTTTTGGAGGAAAATAATGTATTTGCAGGTTTTGTTAATAAGATTTGGTAACTGCTCTCTGCAGTAAAAGCTCTTTGGGGGAAAAAAAGCTGGCTTACCTACAGAGATTTCGTAATTTGTTAGGTTTTACTGACTGCCAAGGGACTGAATCATGTTTTAAGGAGGGAATTTTTGAATATTTGTAGGTGGCTATGAATTCCATTTTATTTTCTGTTTGTATATTCAACTCCCTTATTTTAATTTTGATTTTTAAAAGATCTGGTCTATAAAGCTAAAACAAGTTATTAATATTTATTAAGAATACAAACTATCATGATGACGCATATTACAGGCTCAATGAACCAGAAGTACTGTTTTGCATAAACAATTTTTTTTGGTAAATTTTGGTAAAACAGTGACTTTAACAAATCTATTTTTCCCCTCCCTAGATTTACCAACAGCATGAATCAAGAAAAGTTAGCCAAACTTCAGGCTCAGGTCCGGATAGGGGGCAAGGTGAGTGTGGCATAAGAAAAACTGATAGGAGAATGTATGACTACCAGGTAGTATTATTTTAGATTTGTGGTCATTGAAACTCTAAAGTCTTTTCACTAATCAAGAACAAACCACATTCCAATTTGAAAATAATTTGTGTAGCTCTAAAACGGGTAGCCCGCAGATGTTTTGTCTCTGGTACAACAGAAATAGCCACCTTTGTTCCAGTTCTGACTCTGAACATCTGCTAGTTATGTGACGTGAACCAAGTTGCCCAACCTTGTTAAGCTTCCATGTTACGATTTGCAAAACAGAAATAATCCTACAGAAGATACCTCTATGTGATAGAATAATACTTGTGAAATATCTTGACATAGCATCTTCAGTATTAAGATACTATAATATCGTAGTAAGTAATAGCTGTTTCATTAGACTCACTCACAGAGCCTACCAGTTATTAGGGTTGCCTTAACTAGTACCATGTCCCAACTAGTAGAACTGAGTTTCCAAGGCATTTAATTAGAGATGTTCAAGTTATACATTTTGTTGGCTGTCACATTTTCCTCCCTGTTCTAAGTCAGTGTGAACTTAGCATGTGACCATCAGCTTTTCTCTTGCCGAAGCTTAGGGGAGTGGTAATTTTTACCTCACACTGAGGAGGGGATAGGTAGGACACTAATTTATGTAGCAGACCCGCTGGGGTGTTAAACCTTGATAGCTGCAGCTCTTGGGGCTGGGGACAGGAGAGGGAGAAGGAAGAAAGGGTTAGCGTTCCTGGTGATACAGTTACACGACTCGAGTCATGTGAGCACAGTAGTCACGTTGTAGCATTAAATGTTTTGTACCAATACAAAAAAGAGCTAATTAAAGAATCACAAAGTGTACCTGGGAGCGCTTGATGTAGCACATCACTTGTACATCTTTTAAATCAGTAGTTGATGCACTCATTCATCTAGCTGCTGTTTATTGCACACATACTATATGTAAAATATGTAAATAAGTAAGCCAGTGGTTCCTACTCTTGAAACAGTTTTATTTGGAAGAGAAAAATACACTTAGAGACTACTGAATGCTACATTTAAGTACAAAGTGCTCTTGCCTAAGAGAAACATGGAAGTCATCACTGATCAGGATGAGATTTAAAGAATAAACAAGAATTTTGTCTAAATAAATAGGCGAGTGTCTTGGGAAATGGGTGAAAAGGGGCTATCATTGTCACAGGGAGGCTCACAGGGTGCTTAATAATGTGACTTGTTTTAATTTGGTGCTACTAGAATTTTTGAATGTATGATAAAAAATGGCAGGAAATGAAATGATTGTGTGGTTGAGGGTTGCAACATCCTGTACGCATGTATTTGGGATTTTATACTGTTGTAGGCAGTGGGCAACTTTTGGAAGGTTTTTTGCTTGTTTCTTGACAGAAAGAGGTCTCCTAACTTTTGGTTCACTCCCCAACTGTATGCAGTGGCCAGGCCTGGGCCAGAGCTGGGAGGAGCTTAGTCCAGTTTTGTGTGTGGGTGACAAGGACTCAGTGACTTGAGCCATGACCACTGCCTCCTGGAATCTGTCAGGTGGAAAGCTGGAGTCGGGAGGTAGAACTAGGAGGCAGGCATTCTGTGGGGTGAAGGTGGCTTAACTGCTAAGCCAAGTGCCCTGCTCTTTATTGTAGTATTTTAAGAAGGAAATTACAAATATTTTACAGGGTAACTGCTGGCAATATGAAATAAAATAGAAATTGACATAGAGGACAGCCCTCAAGGTGCTATTGCTGTACTAAAGGCTAAATTTGCTGTAGTATACAAATTTAGGTGTTAAGGGTTAACAGGAATGAAGGGGGTGAGTGTTGTGGTGCAGGGGGTTAAATGGCTGTTTCGGACACCTGCATCCCATATTCGGCTGCCTGATAACACATTTCAGAGACAGCACAATGGCTTAAGTACTTGAGTTCTTGCCATCTATCTGAGAGATTTGGCCTGGACCAGCCCCAGCTGTTCTCAGGCATTTGGGGAGTGAACCAGCAGGTGGAAGTTCTCTCTCTCCCTCTGCCTTTCAACTAAATAGTGAAGGAAAGGATGACCCCTGCTTCTGGTTTTGAGGGCTAGGTATCTAGTAATAACACTGGCCACAAAACTTAGGAAGAATAATTGGTGGTTTGATAAGCTTTCAGACATTAATGTTTGATGCCTGAGGATCGTTGGATTTTAAGTATTTAAAACAAACAGCTCAGCTGTCCCTCAGTATACTGCACAAATAAAAATCGTCCTTATCAGCTGGAGGTCTCAAACTCTACTGTGAGAGCCCCTCCTCTCCCAGCAGAGCAGGTGGCTCTGAAGGCCCTGCGTCCCCTTCCTAAGGGTTACTGCTTGAGGGCTACTATAGGAGCTACCCAGAGATGGAAACCTCCAGTCTTCTCTCTTTGATCCCCAAAACTTAGGCTGCTTTTTAATTCGTTTCAGATATACTTTGTTACAGTTTTGTAAATTGTCCCAGGAGTTTAGTCCATTTAAAAAAAGTTTTTCATTGGAAAGATACATTTAGAGTTTCAAATTTCAATGTAGAGATGAACTTTTCCTTTCTCAGTAAATAGTGTAATTTGCTACTTATTTGCTTAGAAACTTTAAGCATCAAACCAGATTCCTCTAATTCATCAAGTCCCATTGTCTTGAGACTCTGAACCCTTACCATCTCCACAGCCATGTCCCTAGACGCAAGCCAGGATTGCCATGTGAGCCTCTTGACTGGTCGCATTATGGTCCCTTTTCTACACAGCAAACGCAGTCATAACCAGATCAAGTCACTGTCATACCTCACACGTTGCAGTGGTTTCCTGTTGCAATTAGAATAAAATTCTCACTACATGATCAATGCCTGTCTTTGTCTCATTTTGTGTTCCTTCTCCCATTTTTCACTCTGCTCTAGCCATACTGACCTTTTTACTCTCAAAAAGACAAGTTCAATCTTGTTTTGTTGTGCTTGGATCTCTCTTCCCCGATTGTGGCTCTCGATCATTTATGTAACTTCCTCGTAGGTACTTTCCCTGGACACGTTGGTAAAGCAGTGCTTCACTCTTATCATCGTGTTCTGTTTATGTTTTGTTTTTTCTTAATAACTCTTATCTTGGTTAACATAATCTAAGTTATTTATATAATTATTCACTTTTCTCTCCTGTAAATCATATATGCTCCTTGAAGTAAGAACTTTGTCATTCCTGGATTCTGACTCTAGCACACTCACATAATCATTGAATTCTCAGGTCGGTAATTCTCACAAGTCTCAGAATATCTTTAGATTTTATTAGCAGGGAGCAATACGTACAGTAATAAAACATTCTTAATGATGGTTAAAAATTATTGTAAAGCACACTAAATTATTTTGGCTTTATAGATTGTTTTATTAACAATATTTTGGAATATAGTGTTGAAATGGTAAGATTGGATATTGGATAAGAAGTATTGGCCAGAATTGACCTTCAAAAATGTAGGTTAAGGTGACAAAACTTGGAGCAGGCTTCCCACTTATTATCATTTTATTAGTTTTTAATGTGAATTTTAGATTTGTTGTCGTGGACAGCAAGCTTGATTGCAACTGTCGGTTGCTAGACAGGCTAACTCTTAACGTGGTTATTTTTCAGGGTACAGCTCGTAGGAAGAAGAAGGTAGTACACAGAACAGCTACAGCTGATGACAAAAAGCTTCAGAGTTCTCTCAAAAAACTGGCTGTGAATAATATAGCTGGTATTGAAGAGGTATGATCACTTTGTAAATTGTGAAATAGCACATGCACAAATAATTGTAGAGCTTCCAAATATAACAACTGAAAAGAATCCTTGTTATTGTCATGCAGGTGTCGGAGGCTGACTGTTGAATTTGCTTTTTGTGTGACATTGAATGATGATCTGAACAATTATTTTAGGATTTTAGTTAAATATTTTCTTCACACTTTTCAGATTCATAGTATTTGCATTTTGGATAAAATTATGAAACTGCTTTTGAATTTTAACATCAAGTATTTTTTTCTAGCAGTATCAAACTAAATCTCAAGGTTCCTTCAAATAAAGTAAACATTTTTTACCCTAAGGATACTTTTTATTCTACACAGCTTTTTGAATTATAATTTAAGCCGAAAAGCTTTAGCAGCTAGCTTTAGTTGTTTGGATTTCTTAGAAGTTTGCCAGAAATTATTCTTTAAGAAGGTTTATTGTATTTAGTTTTTTTTTTTTTAAATCAAATGTGAGATCAGAAATGGATGTTATTTCAAAAGATAACGAGAAAAATTATAACATCAGCTTCTAATATGATCTATTTCCATTTAGATAATACTTCTGATTAATGTTTTCATTTTTACTGCCATATATTAGACATAATTATGTCATTGCTATGTGTGGTACCACCTCACAGTTTTTTATAGATTGTTATTGTACATATGCTATAAAAAATAAATAATGTGGATGTAGAGATCATACTTTAAAAAGTAACAAAAAGAAGGCAGCAAAATAGCAAAGTGCCACATGTTCCTGTCACTGTGTTTATATGAATAAATAAAATCAACACTTTTTTTTTAATTAGCACATCGTTTAAATTAGCCTTTTGTATGTTTAAAATAAGAGTCCCAGTAAGGCAGTAGAAATGTAAGCTGTATGTATCTGCTTCCCTTTCAGCTTGATGAGAACACATTCTTATTCTGATGAGCATTAGAACTTTTTTTGCAATTGTTGAAGCTAGGGATGTTGTGTACATTTTTTCTGAGTTATTTGAAGTTTGTGTATTTTCGTTAACATAAAAATACTTTGCAGAGCACTCATTTTCTGTGTATTTTAAAAAAAGCACAAAGCTTAAGTCCCAGTATTCATATCTTAAAAAAAAATAGTTGATAAAAAATAAGATCCAAAAATAGGCGTGGGCTGTGTTAAATTTAACCTACTTATAAATGTTTATGCAGTTTTATGTGTCTTTCTATTTTCCAATTCCTCTAACTTCCAAACTGAGCACTACTGACATTTTGCACTAAAGCATTCCTCGTTGTGGGTGCTGTCCTGTATGTTGTAAGATATCCAGCCATGGTCTCAACTGTTTGACGCTAGTAGTACTCCAATCCCCCAGTCATAACAGTCAAAAATGAAGTTTTTTGTCAGCTGTCGCCTGGAGGAGAAACCATCCTGTCTTGAAAAATTTCTTTTAGGAGTAGGGCAAAAATTATAGTCATACTTTCTTTTCAGTGTACATTTAACTTCGTAATGTCACAGGGCATGTTCTTCTAAATGTTTAGTTTTATTCATATTTGGAAGGTGTTATGACTCAGATTAATACAAATTGTGATGGAGTATTAAAGTAAGTGTTTATAACAGTAAAGTAAGGAACCAGGTAGTAATCTCTGATCTCTTCAAAGTATAATGATCCTGGTAATGCTGTGCCGAGGTCATGATGTTGTTATTAAAGTTGTGGTAGTAAAGTACTTAATGATAGTCAACACCCAGGGAATGTCTATTGTGTGCCAGTTGGTCACGCATAAAGATTTACTAGACAGTGGTACAGAAAGGATTGTTTGTGGTCTTTGTTGTTTGTAATTCATAATCTGGTGGGGAAAATAGATCATTAGACATGTAAATAGATATTGTCGCATTTCAGCATCATGACATCCCTTTTACCTGGTGGTTTATCGTTACGGGTAACTAAATGCTGCTGGAAATGCGTGTTTGAATGAAGATGTGTCAAATCCAGAGTTCCTGTGGCTCTGATTGATCTGCCTTTGTTTTTTCTGGTTGGATTTACTTGTACTCCTTCTTGGCCTTTTCCTCTCCTCTTCGCCTTCTCTCTGTACTCCCTCACCCCCTCCCAACCTTGCCAATGCAAAAAACAAAAAGAAAATGAAGAGGCATGCCAACCTTATATCCTGTTTTTCTGAGCTTCCACCATACAGAATTCACCTTATACACAAAAGAAGTCCCCATCAGTATCACAAAGAGCATTCCTTTTTCCCTTTTTTGTAAGTCTTGGCGTAGGCGTTATTTCCTCTCAGAAGGCTTCTGGTAGCATCCATACAAATTTGTAAAGAAAGGTTAAGTACCTCCACAGTGTGTTATAGTCAGCACTTTTAAAACAACATTGTTGTCTCTTTTTGTTGTATCTTCAGTGCAGTTCCAACATCACACAGGGAATTAAATGGTTACGTAATAGACACACATGTCACTCTTGCTACCTTCCTTCCCCTCTCCCCACCCTCATCCTTGCATGCTTTCTTCTAGCTCACACCGGGCTAGTTGAACAGGGAAGGTATACATGTAATAATTAACAGTACATGGTACTAACTGCAAAAATCTTGAATATCTGAACCCAATATGGAGACTTCTACTTTTTTATTTCCATCATTCTAAAATTACTATAATAAAACAAAAACAAGATGCTTGTACTTTACATAATCCTTTATAAATCTGAAGTATTTTATTTAAGAACATTAAATACACTGCATATAATCTGGTTTCTGCACACACTTTTGCGTTAAAAACAAGTTGAAGGGAAAAACTAGCTGCTGCAGGAAAACTTGCATTAAATGTATAAATGCATTAAATGTTTGGTTTTAGGTTACTAAAATATGAAAAATACATATGTTTTACAAAAGAGCCACTAATTGTAATTTTGTTATTGTACCTGGGAATATTTTAAGCATGTTACTAAGTGCTGAGCTCAGGAATACTTTTAACAAAAGCAAGTAAAAACTTGAAATGAGAGAACACCAATGCCATTATTGTAAGACAAAACTTAATTATAGTACTTGCTTTGCTTTGACCTTCAAAGTGTCAGGTAGAAAGTGCTGTATCTTGGGAGTGGGAAGTAGCTCTGTACTTGGTTTCAGAAACTCACGGAGTACACTTTTAGCAGGCAGAAGTTTTAAGCCTACCACTTAGTCTGCCAGTGATTTCTGTCCCACTGGTAAAGGTTAACTGATATCTTCTTCAGAAACTTTAGAAACCGTAGGACTGATTAAGACAAGCTTCTCTCTCTCTCTCTCTCTCTCTCTCTGGTTTTTTTTTTAAATTTTTATTTTTTAGTATCCATTAGTTTGTTTATTTGAAACAATAAATTAAAATCCTGTGGAGACTTTTCACGTTTTACCGAAGAGAAATACATCCAAAGTTGTCAGAAAGTTAAGGGGCTGAGGAGTGTCATAGATTATTTCATGCAAGGTCAAGTAAATAGTTTTTAGAAGGGAAGGAATTCTTAGGCAAACTTGTGAGACATAACCCAGAACTGAATTTCTTCTTTTTTAATTTATTTTTATTGGAAAGGCAGATTTACAGAAAGAGACAGAAAGAGAGCCTGGAACTGCCACCTGAGTGGAAGAGCCGCTTGTGCCTCAGCCAACATCTGCTGTTTCCCAGGATACATTAGTTAGCTGGATTGGAAGCATAAGTGGCCAGGACTCAAAGCAGGCAGCAGCCCTGTGCAATGCAGCATCTCAGGCAGTGTATTAACCTGTTGTGCCATAGCACATGTCCCATATTTCTAATTTTTTTATGTAAATATACCTAAGAATACAAATTCCTATATAATTTAGAATCATTTTCTCTCAAACAGCATTCTAAAAATTGTTTTATATCCTTAAAAGTCTAAATCATTCAAAGTGCCTACATGTAATTTTTTTTCAGCTTTTTTTTTTTTCAAGGCAGATTTTTACAGAGAAGAAAGGGACGGAGAGGGGGCTTTACTGGTTCACTCCCCAATTGGCCGCAGTAAATAGAACTGAGCTGATCTGCAGTTGGAACCCAGGAGCTTCCTCCCAGCCTCCTGTATGGGTTCAGGGTGCCAAGGCTGTAGGCCATGCTCCTATGCTTTCTCATACCATTAGCGAGGAGCTGGATCAGAAGAAGAGCAGCCAGGACATGAACCAGTGCCCATATGGGATACTGGTGCCACAGGTGGAAGATTAGCCTGTTACACCAGCATATTGGCCCTGCCTACGCATATTCAAATACATGACAACGTTTTGATAATAAAAGAGCCACATACTGAACCTCTGTATACTGAAGTAAATATCTTCCACTCTGATTTCCTTCAGATAGATTCCTGAAAGTTCTGTCAATCATCCCTATTGCCAGACTGCTTTTCAGAGAGGCTAGGCCAAGTCCCACTACCAACAGCATTGCTGTAGAATATCCCTCTCTCAGAGAAAACTTACCAGCAAATAAGAGAATACGTTCCTACCATATGATATAGTTTAATGACAGCTGAAAGCTTTAGTTCATACCTACATTAAAAGGCTGTGCTTTGTTCTTGCCTTTAGAAATAAGCAATGCTGAGCCCAAAGAAGTAATTGTATAGAACACAATTTACAAGAATATGTGCAGGGGCCTGATGCAGTAGCCTAGTGGCTAAAATCTTCACCTCGCAATTGCCAGGATTCCATATGGGTGCTTGTTTCTGTCCTGGCTGGTCAATTTTCCATCCAGTTCCCAGCTTATTGTCTGGGAAAGTAGCAGAGGATGGCCCAAAGCCTTGGAACCCTGCACCCATGTGGGAGACCAGGAAGAAGCTCCTGGCTCGTGGCTTCAGATCAGCTCAGCTCTGGCTGTTGCAGCCTCTTGGGGAGTGAACCAGCAGATGGGAGATCTTTCTCTGTATCTCCTTCTCTTTGTAAATCTACCTTTCCAATAGAAAATAAATAGATCTTTTTTTTTTTTAAAGTATGTACAAAGCCCATAATCCTCAAAAACTGACATCCCTCAACCTTGTAAAACCCTGCTTGTTTGCC